GAGAGAGAGAGAGAGAGAGAAATAGAGGAGAGAAATAAAATAGAGTGTTAAATTTTAAATATTTATTGTATTGCGTGTGTGTGTGCGTGTGCGCGTGCGTGCGTGCGTGCGTGCGTGCGTGCGTGCGTGCGTGCGTGTGTATGTGTGTGCGGGTGTGCGTGCGTGTGTGAGTGAGTGCGTGCGTGTGTGTGCCTGTGTGTGTCAATTGAAAGAACATTAAGCAAGCTAGGAATGCACCTAACGGAATATAATCATCATACCAAGAGTTAATCATAATTGATGTATTATATTAGATGTTGATCGTACACATGTCCCATGTACAAAAATTAGTAGAAACCTATGTAGTACTGTATATTGTTCTACGTGATTATGTAATATGTACACTTAGTACGTGCACATGTATACATTGTACTCACGTATACACATAAGTGAATGCCGACGGACACACGCGTGTACATGTACACGCAAGTATACAAGAGTGTGCATAGTACGCACGCATGCACCCATGTACACATATATGTACACACATGTGTACATGACATGCATATATGCTCATGTACACACACCTGTATATAGTACACGTAAGTATACAAGAGCATGCAGATATTCTCATGTACAGCCACACACATGTGTATATATTAGGGGAGACCTGGGTAAGATAGGACACGTTTTTCAGAAACCCTGTAAACCCCACTAAACCAACTTTACCGCCAAAATATCTTTGTGGGTGATCAATAACAATGAAAAGAATAAAAAATTTCATGGTTACTAAATGTAAGTGAGTATTGATCGATTTATAGACGATCAAACATTTTTTTCAACGTCCCATCTTACCCCGCTGTTCTGGGTAAGATGGAACACTAGATTATTCATTGACAATGTTCATACAAATTCGCTTAAATTATATTTCAAATGGTAATACTAACATTTTTATGACCAAGCTGCTTTAAAATTTAACTTTTTTCCCCAATTAATTCTCATAATTTGCTTTTTTAATGTATTCCATGGATTTTTTTGGCTGATAGGTCCATATGAGGCGAATAATTTAATTTTGATACCTATTGATAAAAGAAAATCTTATTTGTTTTGCGTGATATCTACGTGCTTCTTACCAGCCGCGTAGAAACTGCTCCCCGTAGCTCGTTCGATTCCCGCTTGTTCCTTCCCGTGTACTAGCGAACTGTATGCGACCAGCGATTTCCAATTCTCCGATCCCTTGGACTGCTGCACGACGTCGGTTACCCAATCCAGGAGCAGCTCAATGAGACCCGAGTAATAAAGAATCTCCGCTCTCACTGTTGCCGATTCGATGCTGAGGCGACTGAGATGATACCGATGCTTGTTCAGCTCCAGCTGGAACTTGTTCTTCGTGCGGAACGCCTCCGGTGTGTTCTCGCTCTGCGGCCACAGCGAGATGTTCACGAGCATGTTGTCCGTGTCGCGGCTAACCTCGGCGCGGCGTTCGGCGACGGCGGCGTCGCCCTGGCTCGCTATATAGAGCGCCGTGATGCCGCGCTCGATCTGCACATGGTGGATGAGATTACCGATCTCGACTCCCGTCGACACCTGCTCGCTGAGTGAGCCGACGCGCGACCGCTCGCCGACGCTCCCGATGAGTAACGCAAGATTCTGCGAGACGACGGCGATGATCGGGATCATGATGACGCCGAGCACCTTGGCGAGTTGGATGCGTTTGCCGCGCCGCGTTACTGGGTCGCCGCTGCAGATTCCCGTGTAACGCTCGATGTGGATCACCGTGCTGGAGATCGTGTGAATGCTGCCGCGGCCGCTGCGGCTACGCATGCTGCCGCGGCCGTCAATGCTCGACTGACTAAGGTGAAGGTTGCGCGAACTGGACGTCATCGCGACTGGTTCCTTCTTCAACATGGCGACAAGGGAGGATGTCTTGCTGCTGCTGCTGCTTGGTCTTCCTCCTCCTGCTGCTGTTGTTGTTGTTTTGCTGCTGCTGCTGCTCTTGTTGTTTTGCTGCTGCTGTTGTTGTTGTTTTGCTGCTGTTGTTGTTGTTTTGCTGCTGCTGTTGTTGTTGTTTTGCTGCTGTTGTTGTTGTTTTGCTGCTGCTGCTGCTGTTGTTGTTTTGCTGCTGCTGTTGTTGTTGTTTTGCTCCTGCTGTTGTTGTTGTTTTGCTGTTGTTGTTGTTGTTGTTTTGCTGCTGCTGCTGCTGCTGTTGTTGTTTTGCTGCTGCTGCTGTTGTTACCGCTCTTGTTCCGGCTTCTGCCGCTGCTTCTTTTGATCCTGCTCCTGTCGCTGCTGCGGTCTTATTACTATATGGATTTCTTGCGCTTTGTCGCTATCTTGTTAGCGAGCGTGTGCGCGTCATCCGCCGTCCAGCACTGAGTGTCGTCAGTGGAGTAGGTAAATCACAGTTGGCTATTCGACGAGAGTGTCATCATTACGGGTCGCAGCAACGCATGCGGGGAAGCGAGCTTCTTCTCAGACATCATCACAGCATCTCTTGCCTTTCTGCTCCTGATGCGGATAATGATGTAGGTGCGCATCGTGCGCATGCGCCGCTCTCAGAGCAACTAACAGTCAGGGCACTGGGCGAGATGACGCGCGGATTACACAGAGCAGGTAAGGGGCGGGGCCACGTGGCGCGCACGCGGGCGACGGCTCTCCGGCGCGCGGCAATACGCCAATATAAGTGCGAGCTAGAGTAGGCCATGTGACGTGTCATCGATAGATACTTGAGAGCCATAGACGGATAATTGTCGAACGGCAATTAGAGTATGAATAAAGATTACATTATAAATATCGACTGATATTTAGAGTGGCGCACGCATGTAGGTAAGGAAAGGGGGCAACTAAAAATTACTACTAAAATCCAATATTTATGGTAGTATATAAAGTCCTTCTCTTACGTGCTGCAGCCATGATATGCTGATGAAGCTTGGGAATTTCAATGATACAAAAAGTTAAGATGGCGGAGCATTGGCTCAAGAATGGTCTAACAGTGTATGAACAGGTAACAGCTAGGTATGTCTAGATTGAACGGTTCTGCCATAGCAAGACAGATGCGCAAACTACAAACGTATTTTGGGTGCTCACAACTATTCGTACGCCGAAGTGTATCAAGTGGCAAATGTGATCTCATCTTAGAACTGATTAGCTAGAAATAACCGAGGCGGTAGAGGACGCCTGCTCACAAGTGAATTAAAGCTGAATCACTAGTTAAAGCAAACGTCGGTCGGTCGATCGGGAAGCACAGGGGCTTAATTATGCCTTCGGCTTAATTTTTGGCAACTTTATACTCTAATGCAACATGACATGTATCCGCTATCACGTCTCCTGCTGCTATCAATTATTGCACACGCGGAGTGGACGAACGCGCACATATACACGCACGCACGCACGCGCGCGCGCACACACACACACACACACACACACACACACACACACACATGCACACACACACACACGCACACACACACACACACACACACACACACACACACAC